CACATAAAAATTAACACATACACACGTGTGTGTGTGTGTGTGTGTGTGTGTGTAAATTAGATTTTTTTTCCTGCTTGTCCCCAGAAAGTTGAGCTGGGCATTGTGAGTAGAAATTATACAGAGGTAAATTTGGGCTTGATCTAAGGAAAAACTGACTAATACTTGGAAATAAACAATAGTGCAATGGGCTGCCTGGGGAGGCTGGCTTCCCTTCCCCCTTCAGTAAAGGTCTGATGACCACTTCTGCCATAGTTGTAGAGTACCTCTACTTCAGCTACCCTTAGAGCAGATGTCTTCTGAGGTCCCTTCCAGCTGGCAGATTCCGTAACAGGGTTATAAGACGTTCTCTAGAGGTAGGGAGGATGGCCTGAGCCTGCAAGGAATTCTGGGAATTGGAGTTTTTCCATTCACCTTCTGAGGCAAGGAAATGGTGCATGATTTGGGATTGGGGCAGGAGAAGCCTGAGAAAAAGAAGAGAGATACACCTGAGTCCAGGCCATTCCTCCACCATCTAGAGGAGGTGTGACATGGCCATGCCAGTGCCGTGGGCTCCACGATGCCAGTAGTTAGTCCTTGCCACCCAACAGCTCGAGTTGGCATCATTTTATTTTGCTGCGTCCCAAACGATGGCACACCAGGTTATACTTACTATATCTCTCTTCTAACACTTTTTCATTCACATTTTTCACTGGAAGCTTTGTTCCAATGACCAAATGTATGCATGAGTTGGGGAATATGATGTTGCAAACAGAAAGCATTTCTTGGGCCTCATTGTCATATACCGTTTATGTTCCTGAGTTACATGTATCAAGACAAGCACCAAATTTATCAGCAGCCAGTACAATGTTGATGTTGGGGACACCAGTCTGTGGGTAGGCATTCTGTGTTACAGTGTTATTCTGTATATTCATTCACTCTGATACTCCATTCTTTCACAGCAAAGCTTAGATGCTGCCTCCTACACGAGGCATTCCTCGATTCCCCCTACTTGTTGAAATTACCTGGTATCTACTTTGTATTTGGGCAGCTAGGTGGCTCAGTGGATAGTATACCAGACCTGCAGTTAGGAAGACATGAATTCAAATCCAGCCGCAGACACTTACCAGCTGCGTGACCCTGTAAGGGCAAGTCACTTAACCCTGTTTGCCTGAGTTTCCTCATCTGTAAAATAAGCTAGAGAAGGAAATGGCAAAACACTCTAGGATCTTTGCCAGGAAAACTCCAAATGGGGTCACAAGGAGTCAGACAAAACTGAACAACAACTTTATATTTAGTTATCGGTGTATTTCCCGAACCCTCCCCCCACCTCCAATTGAATATAACTCCTTATATATTATATTATATTACTATATATATAAGTAAGCAGGCACTGCTTGCTTTTGTCTTTGCATCTGAGGGCCTGGTTTAAGTCCCTGGTACATAATAATAGCCAGTATTTATATAGTGAAGTAAATTTAGCAAAGCCATAATAGGCACTTAATGAGAATTGGCTTATTTTAATTCTGAAAGACTTTGGTTCAAGCCTAGTCCAGCAAGCTTTCTACATTTACAGTGATCCATTGTATTTACCTCTGGAGATTTGGAGCTGGAAGGAAGCTTAAGACACATCTTGTTGGACCCTCTTATTTTACAGATGAGGAAACTGAGGCCTAGAGTGTCTAAGTAACTTGCCCAGGGTTATGCAAGTAACAAGGGGCAGAGCCTGGATCTGAACCCAGAGCCTCCAGCTCCGAACCCTCCCCTCTTTCCACTGTACTAGAATATTCTGTGTATACAGAGAAGAGAAGCTATTTATTGAGTTCATTGTCTGGTCAGACATTTTATATGGGGTTTTACCCTGTAAGATAACAGTAAATAGACTGTTGGGTTGGGATTTCAGAGGTTGGAGATGCCTCCCAATATCTTTGCTACCTGCTGGCTAATGTTGCCATTTGAACCTCTGGCTTAAGGCACTAGATAGAATCAGGAGAGACCAGAGTTCAAATCCTCGTTGGAACCTTCCTAGCTATGTGACCTTGCGTATAACACTTAATCTCTCCAAGACTCAGTTTCCTCACTTGTAAAACAGGGATAATCATGTTTTCATTCCCTAGCTCATGGGGATTGTTAGTAGGAAGGTCTGCTAGATGTCTTAAAGTGTTCTGGAAATGGGAATTGTTATTTTCAAGGATAAAATGTAAGTTGGGAGCAGCAATATTCCAAGGGATTATTAACAACTGACACTTTAATGTGAGTGAGATCACAAGAGACGGGGACAGGACTTGTAATTTCATTAGTTTTGGACTCCTAGATCAGAAAACTCCCTCTGCCAAAGCCAGATGGTACAGTCTTAGTGGACTTTCTGGGGCTTTCCTGGTTCCCACAATGGCTCTCTAAACACTGGGCCACATCACCTCTTACTAAATGAAGCTAAGACCCCCCCCCCTTTCTTTGAGAGGAAGTTTTGATTCAGGTAAGTGGCGATGGAGCACTTCTTTCTAGACTGATTTTATATGACTTTCTTCACACATTCCATGTTCCAACGGACTTATTTGCTCTTCCCCAATCATGACATTTCATCTCCCACCCCTGTGACTTTGCCCAGGCTGTGCCCCATGCCTGGCAAACCAACCCTATTCATCTGTGCCTTTTAGAAGCCCTAGCTTTCTCCCAGGCTCAGCTAAAGTGTCCCCTCCCATATGCTGGAAGCCTTTCCTGATCTCTCCAGTTGGCGGACCCTTTGAAAAGTCTTGATACTTATTCGTATGTATTTTGTATCTACTTATCTATGTACATGTTTTTTTCTTCCTAGTAGAATGAAAACTCCTTGAAGGCAGAAAGTGTTTTGTTTCTGTTGTTGTAGCCCCAGCATCTAGCCCAGAACCTGGCTACAGCAGGCTTGCTGAATGGATGAAAGTCAAGTAGGTAAATGAAAGACTACCACGGGAAAGGGAAAGAGCTGGAAAATTCAGAGGCAGAGGAAGCTAGAAATAACCTTCACCATTTTGCTGAGAGCAGACCCCCTTTCAAACAGGCAATCCCGAGTTGGCTATGACATCGCTGACCCTGCCTTGCCTGGGTACAGACCATGCCCTGTGGGGGCCTCACCAGAAATTTCCTCTTCTGCTTCCAATGGCTGCCTTGTGCATTGGTGGCCACGTGGGCTTCCGTGACCGCTCGGATGAGCTCCCATTCCTCGTCTGTCGGCTCTGGCTTGTGCCCAATGGTTTTCTGCAGTTCTTCTCGGCGTCTCTTTTCTCGGTTTTCTTCTATCAGCTTCCTTTTTGCCAACCGTTTGCTGTCATCCAATACCACTGGAAGGAGGGAGAAGAGAAAGGCACATCAACACAGGAGACTGATTGCAACAGATCATCTGGACTGTTGCTTTCTTTTTCAGAAGCTGGGAAATGAACCCCGGGATGCCAAGCAGGGGAGCCCGTCAGCTCCCTAGGGAGCTTGGGCATCATCCTATGCAAAGTTTTCTCTTTCCTGCCCTTTGATGCAAATTGCTATAGAATGTTCATCATCCAGTCTAAGCCTTGGTGCAGAATCCCAAAGAGATAGTTAGCTTCGTGTGATGAGCCCTGATTCACACGAGTAGGTTAGCCTCCCTGAGGATGTCAGCTCAGTGCCCCAGGCAGCTGTCAATACCTTGAATTAAAAATGTGTGTGTGTGTGTGTGTGTGTGTGTGTGTGTGTGTGTATTCTCTATATGCCTATATTTCTACCTCCCCTATAAGCTATGGGGTTAGGATTTGAAGGATTTGACTCCTTCCACAGAGGACAAAAGGAAGGCTGCTGTTGCATGCTAGATGGGATGGACTCTCCAAGACAAATTTTTGGCAAGAGTTGCAAAGGATGGGTGGCCATGGATGGACTATGATCTGAATCGCTGAAGGGAACTTTCAATGATGAGATCACAGATTCCTCTGAGCATTTGATTATACTTATCCCCAGTGCCTAGGACAGTGCCTGGCATCCAGAAGGTGCTTGATAAATGTTTGTTAGTTGGTTGATACTTTGCATGTATATGTTGACTCCTTCAAAAGAGGAGCCAGTCAGTTCATCAATAAACATTAATTAAGTGCTTACCATGTGCCAGGCTTTGTGCTAAACACTGAAGCAAAAAAGAAAGGCAAAGATGCTAGAGGGGTATGCTATTTCCTTCTCCAGCTCATTTTACAAATGAGGAAACTGAGGCAAACAGGGTTAAGTGACTTGTCCAGGCCCACCCAGCTAGTATATGTCTGAGGCTGGATTTGAATTCAGGTCAGGCCCAATATCTACCATGCCACCTAGGTACCCCCAGGAATGACACATAGTAGGCACTTAATAAATGCTTGTTGATTGAACCCATGTCCTCAGACGCCAAGTTTAGTGTCGTTTCCAGCACATCGTACCTTCCTGGGTGAGTCATCTATGTCGACCTCCACCTGCCAACGATTGATTCTAATGCATCTAAAAACAGTATGATCATCATGGAGGATTCCCATTTTTGGTAGAAAGGAAAAATACAGACAAAAATCTACAAAGATTTCCCTCTAGTGGAACATGTTCTACTGTTCCTTGGACTCTCTTCCAACATCTCTTCTGTATACAATCTTGGTCTACCCATTAAGAACCACCTATAGGGAAACTAGATGAAGGGCCTTACTTGGGCTAAATCAGGGGTTCTTAATCATGCTTGTGTTACAGGCCAGTCTGGCAGTCGGGAGAAGCCTGTGGATTTCTTCTTGGAAGAATGGTTTATTGTCTACATTCATAATAAAAGAAAATGCTAACTTTCAGTTAGTGGTCAGTGAAAATTAAGATGCAATTTTCTTCCCATCCAAGTTCATAGACTCCTTGAAATCCATCCACAGACCCCTGGTTAAGGCCCTGATCTACATACTGTGAATCACAGTTTCTCTCCCCACTTTGGTATGAATATGGAATTCTCCACCCATGGAGAAAGCAGGCTTTTCATCCTCAATCAACCTGAATCTTGAGTCAAAGGATGTGCCATCACACATCACCTCTGCCTCTTGTATGCCCTGTATACCCTTGGGTAAATTGCTCAATCCCTCTGTGCCTCAGTTTCCTCATCTGTACAAAGATGGGACTGGATCCCCATCTGTGACACCATTCTGGTCATCACCGTCACACTGATGGAAGCACCAGGGTCAAACCCCCTGGCTCACTGAGAGGAGAAGTGAACTTTCAAGGGTTAATCATGTTCGGGCTTCCTCAGTATAGAATGTCTTCATGGCTAAAAATATTACAGACAACATGCCGTAATATTCCACTTCACATTCCTTGGGATTTTCTGAACACAGCGCCCTTTGCTGCTTCTGCTCCCTCCCACCCCTTCAAAGACAAACGTCATATTGATACTCTTCTGCCTGTGGTCAAGAGGATGGCTATCTTGTGGGTTACACTGGATAGATCTCTCACACAGGAAGGGCAATGCCATCATGGGGAAAACATGACATCAGAATGAGGAGATTAGCAGAAAAATCTTGTTTTATTACTTATAGCAACCAGGCAAAAATGGTTGGTGCTCAGAGAGAAAGAAGAAAGGAAAAACCATTTATTAAGCGCCCTCAATGTGCCAAGCTCTGTGCTAAGCACTTTACAGATATTATCTCATTTGATCCTCGAAACAACCCTGAGAGGTAGGTGTTCTTATCCCTATTTTACAGTTGAGGAAACTGAGGCAGAGATTAAGTGACTTGCCCAGGATCACACAGCTAGTAAATATGAGGCTGATGTGAGCTCAGTCTTCCTGAATCCAGGCCTAGCACTCACTCTGTCCACTACGTCATCCAGCCGCTACTTCTGATGCCCCAGCCTTGATAACGATCAATTCTAGAAAGACTTTTAGGATAACTGAGTCACCTCATGCCTATGTTAAAGTAGACTACTGTAGGAATCAGAATGATAGAATCTCCTAGTAGGAAGGAGTTTTGGTGGCCATCCAGGCCAAGGACAGAGATTAAAATCCTAGCTTTGCCACTTGCACCCTGGTAACCTTGGCCAAGTTGTTTGATCTCTCTGAGACTCAGTTTTCTAATCTGTAAAATGAGTGAGTTAGATTAGAGGAGCTCTAAGATTTTTTTTCCATTTCTAAATCTATCATCCAATAATCCATACATAAACAAAAATCTTTTCTATGACATACCGAGCAAGGGACCATTCAGCTCTGCTGGAAGACCGCCAAGGAGGGGGGACCTTCTACGTTGGAATAGTGCTAATGGTTGGAAAGGTTTTTCCTTCCTTTGAGCCTAAATTTTCCTCCAGGGATTGCTCTTCAGGCTCTGGAAGGGAGAGAGGCTCAGGACTGTCCTTGAGTAGTGTGACTCTCTCTATTCAGAGGAAAAAAAGGCAGCCTCTCCTCTGCCTTCCATTACCACGGCCATTTACCCCAGCCTATGGGGGCTTTCTTGGTTTTCTAGCTGCAATATGTCACCACACTCTGTCCCCCTCAACCCACCTTTGCTCAGAAGTCAAATAAAGATGGACTTACAATCGGTTGCCATGCCAACATAGATGCATTTCTTGAAGCGACATTCCTGGCACTGGTTCCGAGTGACTTTGTCTATTACACACTTTCCTTCATATTTACACGAATAGGATGGGTGGAGATTTTTCTGAATGGTTCTCCTAAAGAAACCCTAGGGGAGAAAGGAAACTCCTAGGTGAGAGAATTCAGGAGCATTCAGTTTTCTACCAACAAATGACCCGATTCCCCCCAGTTTCTAGTTCCATAATCCCTGATCCCCACATTACTTTGTACATATGTAATATTATTTTCCTCAACAGAATGTAAGTACTTTGAGGGCGGGGACTGTTTTGTTTTGTCTGGCATACAGGTGGCAATTAATAAATGCCACCTGAACAAAAGGATGGATAGATGGAGTCTACATTTATCTAGAAAGATGAACTTAACTGGTCTTAAAGGGCCTAATGATTAAGCTATGTATGTGTTATATAGATTATATATACATATTAAGTTATATATAGGAAAATCAGAACAACTTTTTCTAAAGACAGTTTGAAATACAGGTGAAGAATATGGCACAAAGGGGGCAGCTAATTGGCATAGTGGATAGAGCACCGACCCTGGATTCAGGAGGACCTGAGTTCAAATATGGCCTCAGGCACATAACACTCACTAGCTGTGTGATCCTGGACAAGTCATTTAACCCCATTGCCTAGCCAAAAAAAAAAACCCCAAAAAACAAAAAAACAAAAACAAAAACAAGAATATGGCACAGGGTTTCCCAATTGCCCTTTATCTAGTGCCTTTCTTCTGTTGATTATCTCCAATTTATCTTGCAGTTTGTATGTAAGTGCTTACATGTTATCTCCCCCACTAGACTATGAGCTCCTTGAGAGCAGGGACTGGGGTTTTTTTTGGCTATTTTTTTGTATCCCCAGTGCTTAGCACAGTAGGCTTGGTACATAGCAGGCATTTATTAAGTGCTTACTGACTGATCTCAGAATCAATATATTTTAGTGTTGATTCAGGGAGAAAGGACTTGGAAATGTGATAAATGGATTGGCAAAAGATGAATCCAGAATCTGCCTTTTTTTCCCCCAGGTGCTGAAAATGAACATAATTCCATTTCTTAGGGTCTTGTGTGATTCTGTGGCCAAGTATAGCTTCTTTAAGCTGGCTTAAATGGCTTCCTGGTTCACATAGGAGAATAAAAGAGAAGGAAACTAAATCACAGTAAATGCAGTTAGGGAGCATAGCAGACAGAGCATTGCATTTCGAGTGAGGAATACTCAAGTTAGAATTCTGCCTCCGCCACTTATTTATGTGACTGTGGGCAAGTCACTTAACCTCTTTCAGACTCAGTTTCCTCACCTGTAAAATGGGTTTAAAAATAGCATCTACCTCACAGGGTTATTATAAGGATCAAATGAGATTACATATATAAAGTACTTTGCAAACCCTTAAGTGCTCCATAAATATTAACTATTGTTACTAACATGGGGTTCATTTAAAGTAAGCCCAACTTGTAGATCACAGATCTCAGGTTGGAAGGGCATTTAAAGGTCACTCAGTCATCTAGTCAAACCCCCTCATTTTGTGGATGAGGAAACTGAAGTCCAAGAAAGTTGTATGATGTGCTTAAGGTCATATAGACAGCAGGAAGCAGATCTGGGGGTCTAAACCTCGGTCTTGTGATTCCAAAGCCAGGGCCTTCACACTGCCCAGCAAGGCCTTTGGTTTCTTATTCTTGAACCTGATAGAAACCAGCTTCGATACTCTGCAAACACCAATACATGAGGGCAAAAAGCTCTCAGCTTCCTCCCAAACGTCTTCCATAATCTATAGGACTTGGTGATTTCATCTTGAAATGCTTCCTCTACTCAGTACTCATTCTCTACATCTACCAAAGTAAGCACACTTATTGATTCCCTGATGCAACAAGGTTATAGCAAAAGGAAGAGTGTGTGTGTGTGTGTGTGTGTATGTGTGTGTATGTGTGTAACATACCTCACTTTGGAAGGGGCTACTATAAACTTTCCTAATGCTGCCTCTTAGCTTTGGGCTGTCTCCTAGACAACATCCATTGATAGAGAAAATCCTCAAATCTCATAGATTAGTCCATATTTGCAATCTAATGCCAAGTTCAAGGTGAAAACTTGGTCAATAACTAACTGGAACAATGGAATCTTCACATTCCTTTGTGGAAATGTCACAGAATAGAACTTTTTGAGCTGTTCTCAATAAAATTCCCAATATTTCTTACTTTTCTGCCACCCAAATGGTGGGAGTCAATGTGCTAGTGGACCCTAATTAGCCTGTTTTTAGTTATGCATGACAATCTCGGTTCTAGTTTCTTTACTTATCCATTTTCACACATGTATACACATTCTTATACACAACCACACAAGAATGTTTTCTTATAGTAACAGCATTAAAGATACAATTTTTAAATGAGATAAATTAGCAGAGGAAAATATAGGAAAAGGCCTCTGGTTTTGCTCTGAACTTACTCTGAGATTTTGGCTATGGGATGGTCTCTCAAATTTTGTGTTCTTTTTATAACGTGAAGGTACACCCATGACAAGAAAGCTGTCACATTTTGTTTGAGTTTCCCACATTTTTAATATTAAATCCATTGCAATGAATGATGTGGATGTATTATAGGATTGCAAAAAACTGTACATTTAATTAGCAGCTGTTGGCATTCTGGTATTGTACATTCCCAGGATGCAGTGAAGTTGTATGCTTTTAAAACATGTGGGCCAAAGATAATGAAAATAGTACATTCAATAAGGTTAGGACCATAACAATGACAGTGTGTTAGGTCACACCAGAATTGTAATTAGATTGTGGGCAGAGGAGGTTTGGCCTATAGCACTGAAATTTAGGGGGCAAGTAGGTGGTGCAGTGGAGAGGGTGCCAGGCTTGGAGTCAGGAAGACTCCTCTTTCTAAGTTCAAATCTGGCCTCAGACACTTATTATCTGTATGACCCTGGGCAAGTCACTTAACCCTGTTTGTCTCAGTTTCCTCATACGTAAAATGAGCTGGAGAAGGAAATGACCAACCACTCCAATATCTTTGCCAAGAAATCCTCCCCCAAAATGGGGTCACAAGAAGTCAGACATGACTGAAATGACTGAATAACAATAGCAAAATGATATTTAAAGGGTGGAAAAACTTGGAATCAAAGAATCTCAGAGAAGAAGGGGACCTCAAAAGCCATACAATTCAACCTCTTCTTAAAAGGATTTCCTCTAGCAGTATGGAACAACACAGCACAGTATCTCATTAGCAAGAAAAATGAATTAGATTAAGAAGCTATCAGATCATCGACCCCATCAGTAAGCCACCAGCACAACCAATTCTCATTTCTGCACAACTAAATTTACTTAACTACTTTATGTTCTTTTCACATCATGAATTGCAAAACTGATTTGAGGGCTCACTTCTTGCTGTTTGCCCCAGCTGCAAAAACTGCTAGATTATGGCTCTGGGTCATGCATTGAAGGCCCAATTGACCAAAATCCCAATTCTTGAATCTGTGGCTAGAAAATGGGCCACCTAGTGAACTCTCTCTCCCTCAACCTTGACCCTCTTCCATCTTCCCCACCCCCATTGCCATTTCCCAGCCAGCATTACTTAGATGCAGGAGAAGGTTCTGATAGCAATGAGAGCATAAAACCTCAGATGCAGAGCAGGAAGGATCCTGGGAGATTATCTAGTCCAACTCTATCCTTTTACAGAGGCAGAATCTGTTCTCCAGGAATGGACAAATTACTTATTGGTATAATGAAAACAGCCCTGACCTCAGGGCCAGATAACCTAGAGGTCCAAGTCCAAAGTCTTCCATTTCTTTCCAGTGTGACCTTAGGTAAGTCACTTCAAGGGCTTCAGGGGCTGTTCCTGGGGAAACATCTATATGCCTGCCCATTCTAGAGGAAGCATTGTGACTCAGATCTGGCTGGAGATCTTCCAGCCCATATGAAAGTTGCCCCTGCTATTGCTGGGGGGTATAAGCCATATGTGGACCATGGCAAAGTAAGGCTTGGCCAGTGATCATGGGGATCTCTTTTTTATTCTTTCTTTGACACTGATTTAGGCACCCCCGGGTAGACTGGGGTGGAGTAAGTGTATGGCAGGGCCAGAGTCTGTGCATAGGCATTATAAGAAGGGTATGGTGCAGGCACCTCTTTGGGAGAGTTCTCCTCTCATTGGCGTTCCAAGCACTGCCACCCTGGGTAATGGAGGGAAGTCTCACCTTTGACAGTTTCCATCTTCCATCCCTAAGTGGGCTCCTTTTGGAAGTTTGAGGGGCATTCCCTCGATTATGCCCACTTTATTATGGTCCTTGAAATGTATCAATGTATTACTGCCAGGTTATGGTCTTACAATCATAGACTGGGGTAAGGTTGGTGGGGGGAGGGGAAGTCACTGTGCTAAAGAATATGTCAGATGCTACTTCCTAGCCCTGTCATCTGTCCCAAAATACATTTCTCAAAAAAGATGTGTCTCAAAGTGGACTTGAATAGATGACATTTTAAAGAGTTTATTTAGAAAAATGTCTGCAGATGCATCCCTGAAGTCCCTACCTGTGGTTACAAAGAGCTGCCAGGGCATGAAAAGTGTTACATTTTTTATTGTATTGGGTGAATGGGGACATTATTTAAATAATGAGAAAAGATAGGATTTGGAGGATTCTGGTGAACTGATGGGGCATACATGTAAATGAGATTGAGAGTCAAGGTCACCTTCTCCTTTGGATGGGATTTGGATGGCCAAGCACCAGCTCAGAAAGCTGTTTTTAAAAACTTATGTCATCTTTAATGCTTCCACTCTCACAACCTGTTGTAATGTTCAGGATGGCGGGCCCTGGGATCCCCACGACAACCAATTGATGCTACTGTCCTTCGCCTATGAGGCTGATTCTGAGGTCTGGAGGAAGCATAGATTGTGCCAGGGCTGACTTGATTCCATCTGTACTGCTCGGCAGAGTCAGAGAATTTGGAATCTTTTTGTGAAAAAGAGTTTTTTTTTGTGGGAAAAGACCTTTTGTTGTTGCTGTTTTGCAGAATAATAATTATAAGTATATTATAACAGAAACATTTTCAATTTTTTTATGCTGTCTTAAGGAGAAAAGCAACCTTGAAATATTTGGAAGAAGTCATTTGGCAAAGTATCCCCTCTCCCTCTTCTTAAACTGATTTGAACTATTCTGGCCTCCCCGATATCTCTCAGCCCCCATCCCAAGTTTTTGGAAGACATAATTGGTCTAGAAACAGGATCAGCATTTGGGATTTGGCCAGGTACAATCAGTGCCTCCCCTCTTCCCTCCTCCCCCTCTCCCCTTAAGGAGTCCTAGGCCATGTTGGTTTATTATAGGCAGCCGTAGCTGACTCTGGCCAAGACAGACATGCTCTACTAACTGAGGAAGAGAAGCACATGCTTTTTCTGACCTTATAATAAGGGTTTGCTATATATATATGTACTCTTACATTGAACCCTGGATCTGATTCTCTATGGTGCCCGAATCGATGTCTACTGGTAAGTTTGGTGCTTCAGGAAACACATGGCTTTTAAAAAGTCATTGAGGGGAGTAGGAGTAATTGCTTTTCATGTGCCTCCTTTTTTTGTTCTCAACTGAGGATCATAGACTTGGAAGAGGTCCTCCCTCCCCTTCTGGATCATCCAGTCCAATCTCATCATTGTGCAGACAAGAAAATCAAGTCCAGAAAGGGTAAGAATGTAAGCTCCCTGAAGGCAGGCACTGTTTCATTTTTGTCTTTGACTCAGCACAAAGTGCTAAAAAAAATACTCGTTAATTGATTAGTAGATTAAGTGATTTGCCTAAAGTTATATAGTGGCTAATTTGCTTCTTTTAGTTCTCACTGGTTTAGAAAAATCAATTACAGATTTAATAATCTGATAAAAATTAGAAATATGATCAGAAATTTGAACCTAGGTCCTTGTCCAAATCCAGACTAGCTACTTCATGGAGATTCTAGGAAATAACTTCAACACCAATCCAAACATCCAAATTCAGTTAGAATAAAACTCCAGTTCTCTAGACTAAGAAGAAGGAAGGCCTGGTCTAAAATAGTGAACCTACAGAGCCATTTAGAGAAATACAATTTTACTATTTTCAAAGAAATATAATCGTTCAAACTAATGTTTAAAAAATTGTTTCCCAGAGAGAGGGCCTGCTTTAGTGAAGTAAAGACTCACTTGTAATTATCACTGTGGATTTGCCTATAATCAATGCGCTCCGGCCCTTAAGAATGATTTCTCCATGTAGGAGAAGGCAACCCTTAGCCTAGCCCTGGTTAAATCATCAGAAATTCAAAATGAGCTGGAGAAAATGGGGTCTGATCACACTCACATTTTAAAGAACATCTCAGTAGATTTAAGACTGTTGTCTCAGAGACCAGTGCTCTACTGTGTCATCCCAATATTTCTCGTGTGCTGACTGACAGGCCCATTTAATTTAATTTAAATTTAATTTAATTTAGTGTACAGATAGGAGGAAGCAGGATATTCCCATGAAATATCTACCATTAGAGAACTGACTTCCCACCTTAGCCTGGCAGAGGCCCCATGTGCCAATTATCTGACCATGTATAGTGTATGACTATGTATTTACTTATATATATATATATATATATATATATATATATATATACACATATAGTGTATGGTCATGTATATGACTATGTGTAGTCTCTTAAAATGCCCTTTGCTAAGATGGCCAAGGTGAGCTTGTTGCTTAGACCAGAGATGATCTTATTATTCATTTTAATACCCTAGGGTAATTTTTCAGAGTGAATTTTGTAAACTGAGTTAGAATACACATACATACATTTTCCTCTTTTCTTAACCTGAAAGATTTTTCTGTCTATAATCATTTTTCAACTAGTAAAATGTCGATCTCAGTCTTCATTTTGTAATGAAGTGAACTTTAAGTTGCTTTTCCAGAAAAAAACTTCATTTCAATCCAACAATATTTAAACTTTGTTTCAGGAGGTGCATAAGCTGTGGCTAAACTGGGTAATTCGGCATGGTACTATAAAAGCTGTTTCTTCAAAGCATAAAAATGAATTTGTAGGACTGCAATTATCTACTGAATATTTGCTGTGTACCCAGATTATGTGGATAATCAAAGACCATAATAGAAATACCAGTGGCCTCAAAGAGGCTTGCTAATGGAGTTCTCAAAGGTTCACCTGATTTCCTCTCTTAGTAGGAAGTTTATGCCTTCAACTAAGTAAAATGCATCTTCTGAAATCAAGTGTATGGGTATAAGCTGGTTTGTGGCATTTCTGACCCGCTGTCTGATGTTGCTTGATGTTATCTTCCTTTTCTTAACCTAATGAGACTGGTTTGCTTTTGGTTACAACACGAGGTATAAATGAATGTTAATGGCTGAATTTAAATAAGAGGAGTGTCCCAAGGAGTGGGGATTAAGTTAAATGTAGTACCTGGAGTTTGAGTGCTAAGTAGACTCTGAGGGGATAGTGGTTACCTAAATTCAAAACGGGAAATAGAGACATATTGTGATAATGGAATGTGAAATCACCTACATAAAAAGGTAACAGGGAATGACAAATGAGGGTAAACTAACACAGAAAATATTAAAGACGCTTGTTTGTGCAATTTATCAAATGCCTACAACAATGCTGATTGGAAGAAGTGAGACCCTGACGATATCCCATCCCATATTTTTTAGTTGTCATTGGTTTTAAAAATCAATTCAATACTATTAAAAATGAGTAATGGATGGTTACTGGATGGTTATGGGCAACAGATGTTGCAGTCCAGGCCTAATCTGCGATTCCATGGATGTGATGTTCATGCACCAGAGCTTTCTGTCACGAAAAAAGGAGCTGGCTTGCTCGAGTCATCCAGCTGGATTATTTACCTTGCAGCCTTCACAAGTGATGCACCGGTAGTGATAACCAGTGGCTTTGTCACCACAAACTACACATAGCTCGTCCTTGTCTAAGTAACTGGGTATGTACCCTGTGAAGGAGGAAAAAAAAAGGAGCATGAAAAAAAGGGAATGACATGTTAGACGTCAAAGACACACCACACCAGGGACTGCTCAGAGCCAGAGCCAGCTGGCTGCCTACAAGCCTAGGCGGGACTCCCCAAAGAGAACTCATGCAATGCAAAAGTCATGTCTTCACACAACCAGTGTCATAATCTTCAACCCCAGGGTGTGTTTACATGCAACATTATCACCTCCATTGTCATCTTTGTGCTTATGGAAAAAGGAGATGGAGAAGAGGGAGACTGAACATGGTAGCAAAAACCTGTTGGATTCTGGGAGTCACTGTTTGGATTCTTGAGCTGATAAAACTGCCTTTATCCCCATCAAGTCTTTTCAGGGTCTGGTCTTGGCAGTTAATGCCAAAGCAAATTGGATTCTGTTTGGGATCGCAGGCACTACGCAGTGGCACAGAAATATTTCCAGGCTGGACAGGATCCCAGATTAGTGAATCCAAGTGTCTCCTTTTATAGAGGAAGCTTGTCCAGCATGACACAAATTTGTGGCAGAAATGGGGCTCAAATCCAGGTCAAAGAAATTGGACTTCCAGTCCAATAAAAACAATTTAGGTTAATTGTCTCTATTGGAAAGATTTAACTTTTAATACAGACTGAATGAATTAATGGATTTATCTACACAGAGACAATTATTTAGGTTTATAATTATATGAAGTGGAATTTCTTCCCCACCAAAAAAAAAAAATCCAGACCCAGTAGGGAATGAATGGGAGGAACTGAGATATAGGATATAAGAGGCAGCATGGTGCCCTGGATTTGACGTCAAATCATAGATCTTTCACTTACTACCTGTGTGACCTTGGACAATTCCCTTAGCTTTTCAGTTAGCCTCAGTTTCCTTCTCTGGAAAACAAAAGGGTTGAACTAGATGATCTCTGCTCTAGATGATCTTCCCACTCTAAATCTATGATTCTATGGTCTTAGTCCTAAAAAAGAAGTCCAAATTAAATTACGAAGACTCTAGTTGCTGTTAGTAGACTTCCTGTTTTCTCTTTGGAGCAGTCAGTAGAACCTGACCACTGTTAGCCCACTTCTCACCTGTCTTTGTCTGTTTTGTTCCCATCTGGGTCACTAAACACGTGTGTGTGCATACACATGAGAACTGACCATGAGAATGGTTGATTCCGTTTACTATGTGAGCCCTAGAAGTCTATCTCCTTCTGACTATTGAGCGTTGCATGGAGCCTGGCCAGATTCAGAAATCTAACCCACACATGACTTAGGGGATGGGGTGGAGGGAAAAATAGCTATGTATATATAGATATGCATGTATATACACACACATACACACACACCACACACACACACACACACACACACACACACACACACATATATTTCTCTCTCCTGATTATGGCTCTTCCTAAAGTCTTTTTAGTCATCAAATGCCTAATTATTTTCAGGGAAAGTTACTTCAGGGCAGAATGATAGGAGAGATTTACCATACTCTTCATAACATTTTCCCAACTTTTTTAATTTAAAAACTGAGATCAAATTTGTCGCTCAGAAAAGTCGCCTTGAAGAGAAAACTAGAAGAAAAGTGAAACTTTCTATAATTCTTCAGAACTTTTTTTGTTAGAAATATCCAGCATCTTCTTTTAGGGGATGGTCCAGATAATGATGACGATGATGTAATAATAGCTGCCATTTATACAGGACTTTATAGTACAGATAGACTCATAGACTTGGAGCTGGAGGGGACCCTAGTGACCATCTAGTTCAAACTTTTTATTTTACAGATGAGGAAACTGAGGCCCAGAGAGGTTTGGAGGCAGTAAGGTGGTACAGTTCACAGGGTGTCAGACTTAGAAATCAAGAAGATCTGAGTTTGAATCCAGTCTCAGATAGTTCTTCCTCATTGTGTGATACTGGGAAAATCATTTCAGTTTCTGAAATGAGGATAAGAAGAGCACCTACCTCCCAAATGAGCTAACGTATGTAAAGTGCTTTCCAAACCTCAAAGGGCCATGCTAGCTATTTTTTATTAATAAGTGACTGCCCCAAGGTCATACAAGTTACAGAGTTAGGTTTCGAACCCAGGTCCTATGACGCCAAACCTAGCATTTTTTCCATTGTGCCACACTGTCTTAAAGATAAAATCATTCAGAAATCAATTTGCCAGCTACCTGTGCTTCATTTAAAGGCTAGATGGCTTTTCCGATTTGTCTTTGTATCATGCGAAAACAAAGATTAATCCAGTCAGTTAACTCCCATGTGTTTCAAAGCATCATCAGTGAAAAATTGGAAGCAGTCAGTCATTAGATGGGTTGAAGAGAAGGAAGAAAAAAGATGGTCCCGGTCTCCTCTTTCATTCCACTCTTTGTGACCAATCTGGGATTCTCACCCTGATTATTTTCCTTCTCAACTCTGGGGAAGGGTGCATGTTGGGGATGTGATGGAGGCAGGCACAGAGAGGAAAGAAAAAACAGAAAGCAAGAGAGGAAAGGATGTGTGTGGGGTGGCTCTAGAGAATCCAGAAGTGGAAGAGTGTAATTAACGCTGCCGCCAGAGCTCACACATCCTGAGAAGAGAGGGGTGCCACTTTGGCAGGGTCAAGAATCCGAATCCATAGGAGGGATGCATGTTCTGTGGTGCTACCGCTTCAGTGAAGGAGAGATTGGTGACCTAGTTACTGAGATAAGGATTGATCAATCAATCAGTCAATCAATCAACAAACAATGATTAAGCACCTCTCATGGGCCAGGCACTGGGGATACAAATAAAGTGAGCCAGTCCCAGAGGACTGATAGTGGTGATTGATGGTAGTGAGGGAGCTTTGGCTGATATTGTGTTAGGGGCAGGTAAGAGATGCAAAACTCTGATTGGTTGGAGGCAGCCAGCTGGTCTTACAGATAGACAATCAGACTTTCAGACATTCAGACAGACAGACTCATCAACTACTTTGAGAATAGTTCACAGTTTGAGTTCTAAATGTCTAGGAAAGATTTTAGTGGATTCAGCAAAGTTCCAGGTAATTGGACCACAAAGAGACAGCTGTAGATTGGCAAATGAAGTCAACCTGGCATAGGAGAAAGTTTTATCTTTTGTAGAAAGTCTAGATCCCCTCATTGCAGTGGACAGGGCATGTCCAGATCCAGCCCCATCGAAGGGGCCACATCCTTTAGCGATGGAGATGTTCCCTTTCAAGGTTCTAGGTTTCTGTTTTGCTTGGGTTACTTGGGTTAGACATACCATCAGCTATAGGGTGGAGAAGCTATCAGCTACAGAGCCATCTCCCCCCGTAGAGGAGCAGGGACTGGACCAGTGATTTCATTGATGTAAAGAACTTCTGGGGGAAGGCACTCTCTCCACCAAAGCAGGTTGGTGCCACGGCAGCTTATAGTTTTAAGAGGGTTGTCTAGAAGAGCACGAAGTTAAGTGACTTACCCTAGGGTCACAAAGCAGCACTGGACTCAGGTCTTTCTGGCATCAAGGCCATCTCCCTCTCTACTAGGCTATACCTCTTTTCTTTCTCCTCCACATACAGAGGTGAAAACTGGAAATCTGCACACAGACACTGAGCCTAGGTCGCAGAAATGGGCAGGACTAGGTCATTGGTTTACCTGAGTTGTGTGCTTCCTTTGAATTCTCAATGATCCACTTTGGGCTGTGCCATCCTGGCTGTAACCCTCCCCAAGTAAACTCTGGTGTCCCCTTCTCCATGCACAATTCATTATGTTCCCAGCTTACACAATTGCTGAGCCTCAAGTCCCTTGGGCACCTCAGTCTTGTGGGTAATTGATGGAGTGAATACTCTAATTGAAGAAGACATAGCAACAGCAACAGGATAATTCAGAAGGCCCTCATCCCCACCACAGACTCCGGGAGCCTTTCCATGATAATAAGCAAAATAAAAAACAATACAAACTGGGCTTTGTGCCTAGAGAATTAACTGCTCATCAAACACTGTGTGTGGCTGGGTGGATGGAGGACGGAGAGAGAGAGAGGGAGAGAGGGAGAGGGAGAGAGAGAGAGGAGAAGAAGAAGAAGAAGATGATGATGAGAAAGAGGCAGAGAGAAGAGAGGCAGAGACAGAGAGAAGAATGAGAGAGAGAAGCAGATAGAGACAGAGACAGAGAGAAACAGAGAGAAAGAAAGAGAGAGACAGAGAGACAGGAAGAGACAGAGACACACCAAGAGAAGGCTAAAGTTTAAAATTTCCATAAAGGTACTAAACAAGGGAACTGTATTAGCTAGTCCTCTGGAACTGCCAGGGCCCCACAGCCAACACAAGTGCAGAGGATTTTTGCAGGTGCAAGCAACAGGCCGTAGAACCCGAGGCTGGGCAGATTCAGCCTGTTGGCTGTCAGGGCTCTGGAATCCTGTTCCCACCCAAAGTTCATTATTGTTGTTGTTGTTGCTACGGCCCATGTTTAACTCCTTGGCACCACGTCCCCAAGACTGAAGCCGAGGCCTTGAACATCGTAACATCCTGTTCTTGGCCCCTGTTTCTCTCTGGATGGACCGCCTTGCTGTGACTTGGCCGGGACATGACATCTCCTCTTCTGGAGCTGTCAGCACCCTTGAAATCGCCTGTTGGTGGCATGGAAGCCGGCCTGATCCCACCACTGTGTATCAGGAACTGAAGAAAATGTGCTCTGATCCCCTACAGAAACCAGATTCCCAAATCAAGTCTGTAGGATCGTAGGATGAGACATTACAGACTATGAGCTGGAGGGGTCCTCAAATGCCATCTAGCCTAGGGGTTCTTAACTTCTTTTTTTTTTTTTGCATTATAGACCCCTTGGGCATTCTGGTGAAGCCAAGGACCCCTTCTCAGAATAATGTTTTTAAATATATAAAATAAAATACATAGCATTATTTTTGTTGCTGAATACAAACCGAATACGTAGCATTATAAAAGAAACAAGTTAGAAATAAATGATACACAATTATAAATAAATCATAAATAAAGATGTAATTTTTTTTCTCATCCAAGTCCACAAATACCCTGA